AAGAGGCCATGGCATCGGGTGATTAGATGTTTCATCCAAAATTACGTCAGGAACCTGTGGTGAGCTGGATGCTTCCCTTGATCTCTTCTGTTATAGGGTCTAGCCCATAATCAGGAGACCAGTCTTCTAATATAAATCTGGTCAAAACCCCTTAAGCCTCTGTAAAAGGAGTTGTGTGCAATTTTTGCCTGTTTCAGAGTGGTTATGTGGCTTCAGTAAGGTTTGTTAAGTGCTTTGATATGCTTTGGTGAAGGGCAGAGTGTTAATAATTAAAATTGGAAGGAAGTTCTGAAGTAGTATGGGGGATGACAACCGCTTTCTGGTCTGTTAGTTAACAAAAATGCAAAATATAAATGGACGAATCAGCAGGTATTTAGTTTAACGCTCCCTTCCCCCAGCCACCTGCATGGGCTGAGCACAAAAAGCAGCTAATTGTCTGCTCTGCTGCAGAGATGAAAGAAGCTGGTCCTACAACAGGAAAGGCTATTGAACTGCATGAAGGTGGTAAATTATCAGCACTGAAAACCTTTTGAGTTGGTATCTGTATGTGCTCAAAAAGTACATTATTTGTACTGGTATTTACAGCGTTCAGGGGCTGATGAAACCAGCATCTCGTGACATGAATCTTATGTTTCAGTCCGTGTAATTAAGAGGTTAGTAAAACTGAAACTTGTTTTTGAAACTCTATGCCTTCGTGGTGTTTGGGTATTGTCAAAGGGTGTGTTGGGTGAGGATGGGCCCTCTTAATGGCTTCATCTTGGCGCAGCTAACGAGCTGTTTGCAGAATTGTGCTGCGATTTGCAGTGGGCAGACTGTAAGAGCAGCCTTGTGTTTGTCCATTTTACTGCTAGCAGTTTCATTTGCAAAGTGCAGGCAGGAGCAGGCTTCTTGCCAGCAACAGCTTCATTCAGATTAGGGCTTTAGTTCAATTATGTCCAATTAACTTTTATTGCAGATAGCAGTGATAATTACTTGCAAGTCAATTTTTTGGCTGCGGTTATCCCAAGGCTAAAGTCTGAGCTTGATGGATTTTAATAACTGAAGTGACGTATAGCTTTTCCTCTTTTTTTTTTTTTTTTTTTTTTTTTTCTTCTTTAGGCCTCAATTAGATGAAAGGTCAGAAGCTATGTAAAAATCCATCTTACAATTAAAGCTGACTGTTCTACTCCTCAGCAGATGCGTAGCACTGTGTTTTAAAATAATCTCTTGGGACCAACCTTTGGTTTAGTAGTGGACTCGGCAGTGCTAACTAAGTTAATGGTTGGACTTGATGATCTTAAAGGTCTTTTCCAACCTAAGCAATTCTATGATTCTAAAAAAAGGCTTTTTAATCTCTAACATCATAATCGTGAGCTTGCTGCTGCTTTATCTGAAGAGTGAATTTGATGGAGCCGATGTCACACGTGGCCATACCTGCCCTCCTGGAGCCGAGAGCAGCTGCCTTGGCTTTTTTTACTGCACTACATCCTGCTCAAAATTGCTCACTTAGAAGCCTTTAGTGGTAGCCCTTGGGCACGAGGAGTGTGATATGAACAATATTGCATTTAAGTGCTGTTACCCCAAAGCTTCTTCACTTTCTTCTTTGCTGAGTGTTGCCATCCTGGCTCGGGGAGAGGGGTAGAGCTGTGCTGCAGCAGGTGCCTTCTCTCTCCCAAAGCACCTCATGTACATTTAAATTCTCTCTGCCTTCCCCTCCAACCTATTTAATTTTGTTGCCTGAGTAACGTTATAAATGGAGGTCAGCCTAAAAGGTGAAATGGTTTACAAGCAAAATCATAGTTAATTAAACTGCAAGAAGCAAAAATTGATTTTGATCGAAACTGTTGCAGGGCTCTACAAAAGGTCCACCTGAATGCAGAAAGCCAAAAGGTCCTGTGCTGGCAGATGCTGACAGTGCACTTAGCTTGTTACAAAAGGCGACTTTCTGTTGTTCACTCTTCCTATTTCTTTATCCCCAAGTACACTCGATGCTATTGTGATTTATTGCCGTTTCAAAAGACTACCTCTCTGCGCATTATTTTGCAGTTTTCCATTTATAAAACATTAAGAGGATGTGATGCCAGCCAGCGACGAATACAGTACTAGTTTGGTAATTTTGTTCCAGGAAATGGTAAGATTTATCTCTGGCTCTTCAGCAGTCCTGGGAAAGGGCCATTCTGGTAAGTGCCCAAGAATAAAGGGGAGTTCTAGGGCTGCAGAAAGGCAGGAAGCCTGCAGCATCAGTCTAGACACTGTCAAGCGAGGCGTGGCTGACTGGAAGGAATCGTATTGACCGCTGAGGTTGGTGGGGGGATTCAGTGTCTGCAGTTGACACGAACAAATTTTTGAAACCCGTAGATTTTAGGTTACTTTGGGAGAGGGAAAAGGAATGAATCTCATTTGGTCTTGAGCAGGCTGCTGGGGGGTAAATGAGACACTGAGTTTCCCTTGGAGCATGAAAATTGGCTAGGATTCAGTTAATGTTTCCTGGCAAGCTCTTATGGGCATTTGTACCAAAGAAACTTCACAACCCGAGTTAGTTTTTGTTTTTGTTTGCAGCATTTATATATGCTGGACTTGGAATGTGCCGCGTGCACTTGGGGGTTGCCGTAAATCCCGCCAGCGGTTATGGAATTTCACGGGGCTACCTTGTGAATAACGAGGAGAAGCGAAGCGTATCAGTCAGCCGCAAGTGCTTAACAACCCTTGCACGGCTTACAGGACCCCAGGGTGCTGGAAACTTGGAATAGTTTGGAGCTTTTCTTTTGTGTGTGGGTAGATGCTCCTGCTTCCTCCCAGCCCCGAGCTTTGTGAACAAGCCTGCAGTTAATCATGGAATTTCAAACATGTGTTTACTTTCAGGAACCTAACTTTAAACTTCACCAGCTCGCTTTCGTCTAAACCAACTCAGTTTCCCATGTTTCACTGGCCCGGGATGGTTTGTTGGGGAGTGTTTCCTTTGTGTGCTTACCCTGTAAGGCCTCTTGGGAGCTTCAGAGACTGGTATATTTAAAAACTTGGCAATAACTCCACATATGTGGTCTGTTTATATAATGATAAAGCTGTGTTAGTGTATTAGAAATTTCCTAGTAGTACTGAGTTGCTTTACAGCTAGGTTTTACTCTAGCTTGTAAAAGTCCCCCTGGCCTGAGGAGCACTGGGTCTGTCAGTCAGTACAAATCTTTGAATATCAGCCAGAAAATACTATATATTTTTAGCGCAGAAAGGCAATATAATGGTAAGTTTTACTGGAACTGATTCTTAGCTCTACAGGGAGGGTGTCCCTGGGCAATGTCTGGAGGTGAGTTCTTCCATCCTACCTGGTGAGCCTTGGTGGTGACAGGACTTAGGCTGAAAATCAGTGCAGGGAATGCTGTGCTGTCTGGGCCAAAAAGCACACTGACACGCAGGTAAGGCTGAACGTCACAGTTATTGTGGGGATGTGGCAGTTGCCCCCAAATCCCAAGCACTGTAAATCCCTCTTAAGCTTAGCATGCTTTGATTTAATTATGAAAAAAATCTTAGGAGGAAAAAAATCTGTTTGTATGTCTAAATCTGCTAACTATTTCATAGAGCATCCTGCAGTATGTGTACTGTTAAGATTATATCCTGCAGCCAGATTAGATTAAAATCACTTCAAAGAGGGGTATTTATTTATTTATTCCAATCTAATGATTGTTTTCCTCTAGAAACGTACTTTGTCTTTTTATATGTATTTTCAAGACAGAGCTCATTATGCTATGTTTGGCAGTATACAGAATTGGTTTAAAATACAATTTTAAAACTTCAAAGGTAAGGGCTTTACATCTGCCCTCCATTGCTGAGTGCCAAAGCCTACTGGTCAGCTTGCTGTCCAGTTTGCAGCTGACTGGTTTAGATGACAGCATTACTGAGCCTGGTACAGTGCAAAACCCCCTCGGTTCGTGACTCACTGTTTCCGTTCCAGTTCCCCCCAGTAACACACCACCCATCCTCGGAGGGGCTGGGGCAGCAGCCCCGCGAGGAGCTGTGCAGGTGCTGGTGCCCACACAAGTTGCCGCTGTGGAGCCAAGTCTGCTAGTGAGAAGTCTTGACCTGCCAAGTTCAGTTTTATCTCCTGCTCTGGACTAATTAGAAGCAATAAAGCCAAGCGCAGGAGGGGATGATGGGCCCAGCTGCCTTTTTGTCAGGACCCTGTGCTGCCAACCTGAGACCGTGCATAACAACAGTTTGAGACAGCCGTCAATGCTCACCTCAATCCCAAATACAATCCATGCAGTGGGTTTCAGTTTGGTTTAGCTGGGCAGTACGTTGGAGTTGTCTGCGCTAGCTCGTGCTGTATATCAGTCAGGACAGAAAGTAGTCAGGTGCTGAGTATCTCAAAGGGAATAAATTAATTTTTAACAAAAAAGCGAAGAAGCTTGTGGTAAAGACATTTCAAATGCATTTGTTTTCAAATACTGAGATCTCGATTTTGAGAAAATATTAATTTCATAGAGAACAAAAATCGGAGCAGCATTTTAATTATAATATGGATTCAGTGATGCAGTTATAGTCAGCACTTCTATACAAGTCTGAATTTCTTTTTTTAATGCTCAGCAGTGACCTAGATGGCATCAATTTGGTTATTGCAAATCAAGCTAAAAGAATGATTTTATGCTTCTACTTAAAATGATTTTCGTAAGTCCACTATTTCCTTTAAAATTATTACTGCCACCCCAGTCTTTTATGAACCTTTGGCATTGCCGAAAATGATTATCCGCCTGCGGGAACAACTTGCCTTTATAGCCCTCTCTAAAACATTACTCTCTGTATTGGAGCGAAAGCTTCTGTAAATACATGTTTTGACCTTCAAGGAAACACTGCTGTCTTATCGCAGAAGCCTGGCTATTCTGAATTGAATGCTGTGACCGCTCTTAATCACTTGTTCTCTCTCCTAATGTGCCATTATCCTGTTTATTGCTGCGTGCGTGGTGCTGAGCCTCTCCGTGGCACTTCAGCGAGAGGCTTACTTAAAGAGTCACAGTGTTCAGGCTATAATGAGCGCTAATGACGGAGCAGGTGAGCAAACCATCCGCATATCTTGCTGTCAGAAATGCTGCTTGTTCAGTCAAAGAGCGCGTTGAGTGCAGTGCTGTGCTGCAGAGCGCTTTTCTCTCTTTCGGGGCTGCACACATACTTGCCCTCAGTTAAGTCATGTTTTAGACGCCAAGCTCCTCCGGCTACGCAGGGATGGGAAGTAATCCTGGGCTGGCGTCAGATGTTACTGGAGTAAAAGGTAGATGCTTATGCGAATACGGGAATGGTGTGATCTGATGATTTTCTGACTACTGTGAAAGCTCTTAATTTTGTTTGTCTGCTTTGCACTGAGAAATAGGTCTTGGTTTTGCCAGTCTTCTGAAGTTGATGAAATGAGGGGAAAAGGAAAATACGATTACTCCTTTTTGTTGCTGACTCTGAGTGTTTCTGTTGCTTACTCAGGTAAAGCTCTGGCAACTCACAGTGGTTTTGTCTTCTGATTAAAAGGAGCTGGATTCTTGTTTTGTCTTTTTGGTCTTGCTGGCCATGATTTGGAATGAGAAAGTGCTGCCCACAGGCTGTTTGCAAAGTTTCACTCACTGAGCACTGCATACTTAGAGTCATGAATGAATCTCATCTATAAAGGTCGAGCAATTTTCAGTTCTTAAAGCAATTCCTTTAAGTTGTGGATGTGACAGGTCTTCGTCATCATTTCTGAACACCTTCTGAAAGACTAAGAACTCCACCTGCTACAGAGGGCGAGAAGAAAATCCAGGTTTCGACATTTTTACAAGGTTTTACAACTACAAATCTTGAACTTACAGTAGTACAGGTTGTTACTATCTCCTAGGGATGAAAGGGAGAATTAATGTAACTTGTTCTCGTGGTGGTTGCACTGTTGGCCCTGCGGCTTGGTGAGGTTGCGTATTTGTTTCTCACGGCACCGAGTCACTGTTACTCTGAGTGGGTAGGGTGAGTGGGCAACAGCATGGAGTTGTCAAGCTGACATTCAGTGTCCAAAATTACTTTTGATTGTTAGTCACAGTGGCACCCGACGGGCTCGGTCAGCAACACGCAGTCAGCTTTTGAGAGCACTCACACAGTGAAGGTGCAGAGGTTTTTGTAAATTAATATTTGTATGAGGCTTCTTGGCTGTTGGTTTAATCAGCCTTTGCGTGTTGAACTGAGGAGATGCATACAAACATGGAGCTAATGAATTGCACAACGTGAGTAATTGCTGTGCTACCGGTAAGCTTTAAGTCCATGCTGTTTGCTGTATTGGTGCAGGTACTCCTTGGGCGGTCTGACTCGTGATCGTGGTCAGAGGTTAGGTTTCCAATTAAAGTCTTTAAAACATCCCTGCAGAGAAATCAGCTTTTGGAGCTTTCTGGAGCATGAAGGCAGTGGTGCTATCCAGGACGCAGCACTGACGTTGCCACATCAGGTGTCATCCAAAGGCTTCACGGCGTTTGTGCAGTCCTCGGCAGCACAACTCTTTCAGAAGTGGCTTCTGCGGGGTTTCTGCAGCTGTGGCTTCTCGTGCCGGTCTCAAGCTTTCTGCTTCACCTGTCTTGATCTTTGAATGCCTCCCCAGTTGTTTTAATTGAGGTTTGGAAACAATGACTGAAATTAATTTTGAAGCCTTCAACTCTTCTAAGTTTTGGGGGCCATACAGCTCCCTGAGCCCTTTCTAGCTGCTCCTTCGGTGTTTTGGCAAAAGCACGCCCTGTATAGCGGCACTGATGCTTTGGAGATCTGGGCAAGGCGGAGAAGTCAACTGATTTCTCAGGCTTGGCTCAGCCACCCCATTTCCCAGAGCTTTCTAAAGTGCTCGTGGCTGGCTGTGGCTTGCCCCAGTAGCTGCAGCAAGGGGGATTTGAGCAGGGGCTTGGACCAGGTGGCTTCTAGAGACCTTGTTCCAACTCAAATTTCTCTCCATAATCCTAGTAACGTGAGACTTTGAGCCTGAGTTAGCTTTGTCGTTGGAAACCCCACTTGTATCTGTACGCTGATGATGGGGTTTGAGGGTAGCTGTGCAGCGTTTATATATAAGGAGCTTTAGTGCTCCGTGCGTTCGTTTTGAGGTTTGATTTCATAAATGCTGAAGCTCTGCAGTAGAGGATGGTGGCACGGCTGCAGCTCCTTTGTGCAGCAGGCACGTCTTGCTGTTTGTCTAACCTGGAGCCGTGCGGGTTAGCGAGTCTCCTATGAAATGAAGGAAGTTGTAGCCATTCATCTTTCAGCCTAATGGACCACAGAAATTACAAGCTGTAGCATGCAGTTTAATCTTGCCACAAGGCAGAGTGCTGCATACTTTGCCTTCAATTTATGCATGCCATGCCTTTTTATTAAATGTAAAAGAGCAGTTGACGGGATTTCTCCAGAGGACTTGCTTTGGCTATACCTGGTAGATAGCCAGCGCATTTCAATATATAGTAAAATGAGTGATGGTGGTTTCTTTACCATTCATAACAACCACCTTTGAAATTTGAGGATAGAGTTATGGATTATCCTCTGTCTGTCAAGCAGCAGAGGAGAGTGAGACGGCTATTTTAGTTTTAACCCTGCAGATGACCCACTTCTTGAGGTATTTCCATTTCCATTACCGTTACAAGATGCAGGAAGGGCCGGAGCAGCGGTCGCGCATCTGTGCTTGGTCAGGCCTTCACCCAGGGATGGCTCGCTGCCGCTTTCTTTTCTCTGTTCCTCCTTGTATTATAACTTTGAATTGTCTCTCTGTTGTTGCAGTGTGCAGAGGAGTGAATGCCCCATGTTGTGTTAGTGCCTGTCTGCCATGCTGGCCTGTCTGCCAGGACCAGGTGACCTCTCCTTTCAGCTTCTTTCTTACACGCAGATGAACACTGGACTTCAGAAATGTGAGTGACGTTTTGTCTGCAGGATGTGGTTAACTGTTAAATCTGGCTCTGGTACAGCTGTGACATAAACATTCAGGATACGGTGGAAAAACTATTTAATGTTAGAGTCTCTTTTGTTATGCCTTCAAGGCATCCATCAATAATGGCTCTGAGAAATCGCTGTGGAGGTTCACGTGTGTGCAGCAAGCTTTCCCCCCTTCCTGGCTTTATAAAGGTTAATTTTAACTACAGCAAGATGAAATGCAAGTGAGGTTTCTGTGAGATTCATGCCTCTTTGCTGAAAACATTTTGTGCTAAAAGCGTGCCAGCTGACTTGCTTCTTAACACAGCTTTTTCCTGACTCTTTTTCACTCCATTCGTTTAATTACTCGTAGACACCAATAAAAGTTGGATCAGGCTAATGCAAACCTTTTGAGGTCAGCAGCTCTGTTGTTCTACATACCTGGGGCATATACTGCAAATATTAGTGATCTAGCCCAAATTACTAACGTTCAAAGTTTCCATCTTCTTTCTGATGTCTCTTTGGTGCCTCTGAAAATAATGTCTGCAGAGTACTCTGATAATTTTTTTTTTTTTTTTTTTTTTTTTTTATAACTTCAGTCAGTTTTTTGATAGTAGTACTAGTATTTTTAAGAAGAACTTACGCTTGGGAATGTAAGTTTACTGGCTAGAGATTTTTTTAAGATCTTACCCTGTCTCTCCTCTTTATCACTGAAGTTGCACATTGATTGTTCAGCTGAAATTTCAGAAAGACCAAGGTTTCTACATAAGATCTGTGCACTTGGTTCTTAGGGCTGTGACCTGTCTCTTGTATTTGAAATGTGTGTTGGGAGATCTCTGTACCCTCGTTTTGCTGAGGGACTCGTTGCTCTTTAAAACCAAGTAATTTACACTCCGGTTATAGCTACAATTGTTACTACGTTAAGACTTGTGGTGCTACTGAAAATAGGTAAGGTAATTTTGCAATTAAGGGTGACATGCTTAAAGTCCTGCCAGCAGGGAGTGACACTGTTGACGTACACAGGTGTGCTCCCCCCACCACTTGTATATGCCGACTCCACGGGCTTGGTAATTGTAGTGACACTTTCGACAACAGTAAAAATCTTTACTCACAAAAGGACTTCCTGGGCATTCCCCTCCTTTCTCTTTGCTGTTTCCAGTTTGAGCTTTGCTCACCGAAACGTGCTTTTTCAAAAGGTAGGCTGCTGTGGTGAGAACACAACTAGGTCCTGGCATTATGTGAAGTTTCTTTGGTGGATCAGAAAGCTTAGCTCTGAAAGCAAATTGTTGAGGTTCACGGGAGGGTAGCTGTGCATAAATCGGGTATTTGCTAATTACACATTTACAAGGCACCGTGCTGGTAGGTGGGCAGTTTCTTAACCTGATGGTACCTGATGCTGTTTCTGAGAACTGCTTATCCCCATGCTGAAAGCATTGCTGTATCCTGCTTAGTGAAGCTTCGGGTACTGCATTTAAAAGAATTTAGGGCATAAAGTAGCTGGCAGGCACTGGCTGGCAGTGGTAATGCTCAGCTGTTCCAGTTTGTTCTGATTTATATGGAAAATGAAACTGCTTGTACAGACCTTGCTCACCCCTGCTGCAGATGTGTGTAAGATTAATTGGTGCATTTCTCTCCATACTGTATATGCACAAGTGGTCTAGCCCCTGGCCAAAGGAAAGCTGAGTTAATGAGCATTTTTAATGAACGGTGACTTGTGACTTTTGATGGGGGGTTGGAAGCAGGCTTTAATAATAGTGATATTGCTTTTATAAAAGGCACAGAACTCCACAGGATAGCCTTTATTTGGACTTGCGGTGTTTGTATTAATAATTTTTAAATGTAGTTTCCTGGACCAGACTTTTTATTAACACTTAAAAATCCACATTAGCTCAATTATCTTTTTTTCTTATTCACTTTCAAATAAGAGGCATTTTTCTTAAAGATGGTCTGTGCAGTAGGAGTTTTGTAGATTAATATGCACATATTTTTTCCTTTAGAAACTGATCACTGTGGGACTTTCAATTTCAGTATTTTTCTTTGAATTCCAACCTGCATCACAGGAAAGGCTAACCCTGAAATTTGTCCTTAGCCACGCAGGGGATTTCTCATTGATTCTGTATTGATATTTCTTTCCTTCCTCCCAGTGACTCCAGTATAAACCTGACCAGTCAATCAGGATACTTGAGGCAAGACCATTCGGGCAGTGTCTGCAGCCACTTTTGGACATAACAGCGTTGCCACAGGGCCTGGGAGAAAAAGGGTGATTTTTTTTGTGATGGTGGTACAAAGTCAAGGTTAAAAGTGCTTCTTAGAGAGCTTTTGGTGGGGGGGACGGGACAAAAGACAGAAGAACAGATTGGGACTGAATGTGGGCTCATCAGCTAAAATAGAGTCCTTTCTAGGTATTTTGTTTAATGTTAATAAAAATTTAACCATAGGCAGTTTTAAAAGCAGTGGGTTTTAAAGCCTTAATGTGAAATGCACTTTCAAATGTTATGTTGGTGCTGAGGTGAGGCAGAGAAATATATCTCATTTCATGATAAAAATAGCTCCAGCGGTGAGATGCACGCAGGAATGTGACCAGACGAATTGGCTGCCACGGGATTAGCGGGAGTGTGAACTTGCAGCTCACCGATTTATTGGGATAATTGCTCGTATGCACAGCTTTACCTTGTAGTAAACATGAAATAATTACTTTTCAACAAAAGTAATATGCCTTGTGTTTGCCGTTAGGTAACTTTGTGGAACTCATCCCGTTATTTTCTTAGCGTAACTTGTTCATCTGCCATCCTCCTCGTCATTTTATGGCCCAATCCAGAATTCTTGTACCTGTGGTATTCCAATACCAGCATTTTCTTTCAGTTCATTCTAGCTGGTTTTCCATTCACTTAGTAACCAGACCTAATTGTTCTTTACTGGTTTCTAGGATATTTGTATGGGATATTCAGACTCTTGATCACCCCATAGTGCCTTTCTCCTTTCTCTTAATTTTTGTTCATTGCCTTAATTATTCCAGTCATCAAATCTTGCCTGTGGAACTACTAGCAAAGCACATTATAAGCAGCATGTTGGGACCTTTGTAAATACATCACCTTGGTCAGGCCTAAGTAGAACGGCTGAGTTAGTCCGTTGTAAAAGGAGCATAATCTTAGCTGTACACAAAATGGGCTCTGTTTGAAATGGTGGTTGGTTTCAGAAGATCCTGTCCAAGGATTTAAAAGGTGGTTTGCCATTTGGTAGGGTGCCAAACTTGATGTTGGTACATCATTTAAGTTTAACTGAGGGATTATTTTCTCTCATCAGAGGACGGAGTTCTTCCAGATTTAGGATTGCAGGTGTGTTGTAACCGACAGCCGCAGCCTGTTCAAATAGCTGCTGTCTAAAAGCCTCCATTGCAGTTCCTATGTAGCAGAAAAATAGATGCTTGGGTAAAAGAATATTTAGTGTATCTGTTCAGTGTTTGTATGTACCACCTAATTTGCTGATATGCCTATAGAAATGTAAGCCAGACTGGGAAATTTTGATGGTAAAGGTGTCTTTAAAGTATCTACTTAATTTTTCATCTGAAAATAAAAGCTCTATGTGACAATGGCCGTAACCGTAACATAAACCATAATACAGACAGGAGTGGATTCCTTTGTCCGTTGTTCATGGTGGTTCTCTGATTCATGGTGAGTTGCAAGGGTCATCTCTTGGGGAAGAAACAGAACTTAATGGGCTTGGGCAATGCTAAAGGTTGGGAAGCTCATGAAGGCCTTGGCTGTTGAGGCAAGTACTGGCAAACTCCATTCAGAGGCTCTTCTCTCCATTGAGAGCGTAGCAGCTCACTCAAAAGGACAGACATAAACCACCTGCCTGGAGCGGCAGGTAGAGGGATATAAACAGAGAGGATGTTCAGGTTAGTATCAAATGAGCATTTCCTTTGATTAGGAGAAAAGGTGGTATGTGCCAGCGTTTGGACAGCACAGAGTAAGAGTGTAACCGGGGCTGTGGTACATGGTGTGCTAGAGATGCAAGGCAGCCTGCTTGCAAAGCTTCTTATGTCACAAAAGATGCTTTTAATATTTCTATAATTATCCTTTCTTTTGATATGCATCTTATTTTCCGTTTTCTGGCCCTTACTCTGAAAGTGAGCGCTCTTAGAGCAGTACTGCTCTCCCTTACCTGTGAAGACTGGAAGCTGCAGGACGCAAAGAGCGAGGTGGCTGGGACTCAGACTCGAGCTGTATTCAGGAACCTTTTGGAGGCAATTTGCTTAAAAGAACCAGAGGTTGATTTTCAAGAGGAAGGGCTGTTTGCCTGGGGGCATCAGTCTTTTTACTGGAGCATTAGCTTTCCTTGGGTCGGAGGGCCAGATGCGGGGCTGAGCTGCTCTTGGGCTCTGGAGGAGCTGGCTGCTGCGTTTCCCCTTCTTTCAGCACAGCAGCAGATGGCGTGGGGATGCTGAAAATTTTAGCAAAAAGGATGGGCGGGTTCTCCAGTAAACTGTTTGCAAGGTGGGGGGGAAAAAAAAAATCAAGCAAAAGCAAAATCACGTTGTCAAAGCTGCAAGCCATTATTTGAAGATTATAAAATCACTTCTAAAGCAGTAGTCCCTTAGGAGTTAAGGAGCAGAGCTGTGGTAGGGGAACAGCCCAGCTCTCTGCTTGGAATACGATTATAGCGCGAGAGGCACAAGCATTTCCCTAGATTTCTGAAGTTCTTTCCAGAAGCACTTTGGGCTTGTGGGCAAGGTAGGTATCTGGTAAATTGGAGTAAGTGAAACCACACCCCTGTCTCCTGAAGTTTTTTGTCTGTGTTGGGGAGTAGCATGGTTTTAATCTTGTGGGGTAATCACGTAATTTTTCTGTACGATACAAGGACGGTGTCCTTAGCAAGGTGCCACACTGAAAATTCAGCTGAAGAAATAATTGCAAGCCATAAAATAACGCACGTGTAGCCTCCTTCTGTTTGCTGAACTTGGACTGACAAGGGCTTCCTAATGGACAAAAAGACACACAAAGTGCTTTCAGATGTCAGCATCTAGAAGAGAACTCAGATGTAAATGGAGGCTTGAGCTGAAGTGCTTCGTATGGTTCCCACCTCAGCATTACACAGGTTTAATGTTTAATTCATAACTTCCTGATTTCTGAATCACACGGTAAAGATACTGAGAATGGCTCAAAGAGCCATGGGGTGGCGGCCTGAAATTAAGAGAATAGAAACTAGCCCACTACTGCAAGCCATAAGAAATATTTCAAGTTGGAAACAATGCGATGTTTATAGTGTGATACCTGTTTTTGTGCAACTATAAACTGACTCTGATCAAAACACTGGTTTGGTTTTGCTCTCCTAGGCAGGTCTTTCCTTAAGCTGAACTGGGGGTTGTGTTCGTCCCCAGGTAATAAAGGGAATGAGGTACCTGGTACATGATCTGGTCTGGGAAGATGAAGTTCTTGCCTCTTGATTCCTTGGAGATTTTCTACCCATGTTGTGCAAGTGTCTTGCCCTGGGGTTGATCCCTTGCTTACCAGAATTGGTATTGACGAATTTCCTTTCTCTGCAGGGGACACTACACAGAAAATGAGATCTGCACAGTATCCTACCCCAGCAGAATTGGATGCTTATGCTAAGAAGGTCGCCAACAATCCACTGACTATAAAAATTTTTCCAAACAGTGTCAAGGTTCCCCAGAGGAAACACATACGCCGTACTGTGAACGGACTTGATACTTCGGGCCAGAGGTACAGTCCTTACCCATCTCAGGCCACCACGAAAACAGGCCTCCTGGCAATAGTCAAATCTCCAGCGAAAGGAATTATCAAAGACTTTGACGGGACACGCACGCGTCTGCTGCCGGAAGCGATGATGAATCCCCCTTCCACACCATACGTTGCACCTAGCACTTTAACCCACCCCCAGGCGCTTGCTCGCCAGCAGGCTCTCCAGCATGCACAGACTTTGCCGCACCCCCAGAGTATACCGCAGCCACAGACTTTGCAGCACCCTCAGGGTATACCACAGCCACAAAGCTTACCGCACCCTCAGGGGATCCCGCAGCCGCAGACGCTGCCGCACCCTCAGAATATGCAGCAGCCGCAGGGCTTGCAGCATCCTCAGACCATGGCACACCAGACTCTGCAGCACCCCCCGAATCCTTTGCTGCAGCCAGGTTTACATGGAAGCAGAAAGATGCCGGATGCAGATGCGCCGCCGAATGTGACCGTGTCTACCTCAACCATTCCCCTCTCTCTGCCTGCCACCCTGCAGCAGAACCAGCCACCGGACCTGAGCAGCATTGTGCACCAGATTAACCAGTTCTGCCAGGCCAGAGCTGGCATTAGCACTACCTCAGTATGTGAGGGACAGATTGCAAACCCCAGCCCTATAAGTCGCAACCTGCTTATCAATGCAAGTACCAGGGTATCTACTCACAATGTCCCTACACCCATGCCTTCCTGTGTAGTAAACCCTGTAGATCATGCTGCTGCTGCTATTCCTCCTGCCTCTGTTAATGTGCCCATGGTGAATATTAACAGGGTGCCGCCCGCGTACCAGAATGAAATCAAATCGGTTGCGTGGAACCAGCACCAGCTTGCACATCTGCAGCAAATGTGTGGGGATGCTGCTGGGCCTGCTGGACTCGCAGGGAAGCACCCTCAGAGAGAGATCGCAGGGCAGAATTTTCCTGGCAAAACTTCTAACTACCCTCAAGAACTGTGCATGGGCCAGTCATTCAGCTTGAAGCCCCCCATCGAGAAGCCTACGCCTTCTCCACCTGTGAACGGGTTGCAGGGACCCTTGCCATATACCAATGGGCACTATTTCCAGCCCATCTGGAATAACATTCTGCCCACACCCAACAGTGACAGCTCTGGGTCCCAGGACCTCGCCATGCCTTTCCACGGGGGACAGCCAGCAGGAGCGCCGCTAGATTGTGCAGGAGGAACTCATTACAGAGCTGGAGCTGGCCCATCCAGCCAGAATAATGTGATGCAGACCATGGATTACCTAAGCGGGGACTTCCAGCAGTCCTGCTTCAGAGATCAGAGCATGGCCGTGCTGGGGAAAGTCCATCGGCCTCCCATGAACCGAGCACCTGAACCAACCGATAGTCGAAATCTTCATATTCAACACCCAGGGTATAGATAGGCTGCAGTCACTTTCACAGACAAAAAAATTAGAGGTTTAGTCTTAATTTTAATTAATAAGCAAGGCATTTTTAACTTGCAAACTTGTGTGATCATTATAGTAACCATTGGAAGAAGACATACTGTATATTTAAAAGCTTTGCTTACATGTTATCTATCTCCTTTATGCATCAAATATTTAACATGCCTTTTGTTTCAAAGAATTTCATTACACTACTTCACGCCACAGCTGTTTCCTCACCGCAAAATCCCCTTTGTGCAGCTTTTGCCTTCTGCTTAGTAGCTACTTGCTGGACCGATGTTGAGTTGCTGCAGGGTTTCGCAGTTGCATCTGTTCGCCAGCTCCGTAACGAGTGAGGTAGCGTAGCTGCTTGAATTTCCATCTCAATTTCCTCTGAAGATTAAGAGCAACAGAATTTGTCAGGAAGCAGGGCTTATTTTCAACTCGAAAGCCCGTTTCATTAATGCATTAAACATTGACCGTTTGCACTGTCTGGAGGCCTATTTAATTGAAAAAGAAGCCTACGTTTGAAAAGAGCTAGCTAGGGGTATGTATGTAGGCATTAAATAGGAAGAAGCTTTTCAGCCGTTTCTTGCTGAGACGCCCACGTTTATCGTTCAGACTTTGTCCAAAGTTGAAAGTCTCTGGCAGATTTTTTGACACCTTTTGTTTTGTTTTTTTTTTCCGTTTTTGGGGGTTTTTTGCAGGCAGGGTATGGAGGAGGGGGGAAGGGCAGTTTTAGGACGTAGGCAGCATAGCTGCCGTAGGTAGCTGCCTTTTTTCTGCATCATATTTCCCTTCCCCGCTCCCCTTTTGCCAGCGTAAGAGCTAACTTTGTCTGAACCCCTCGCTGCTACGAGTCTGGCCGTCCTGATCTGAAGGGAATCCAGACCCACTGACAACTCCAAAAAGGGTTCAGCCGCTTCTCTGGTAGCTAGAATTAATTTCAGGGCAAGGAGATGTAACTCAAGCACGTCTCCGGTGCAATGAGCGGGCGCATGGGGCGGCGGGGCCCGGTTCCGTTCCAGCAGCGGTCCCGATGGGACGGGAGGCGGTTGATCTGAAGCGAAGCTCCGCTCACGAGCCCCTGTGGGACCGACGGTCCCGTATTCCTCTCCATCAAAACGCCGCAGCAGATTTAATGGAACAATTCTCCTCTCTGGGAATTAGCGAAGCTATTTATGACATCCCTTTTTCCCAGGGTCTCGGTGCCTAACTCCTTCTGTTCCTCTCCCACGTCACTTCCAGCAGCTAGTCGAGTCAGTGACCGTAGGACACTAACTATCGGGTAACCTCAGCGTCTTGTTCTCCCCGGTGTACCGAAACACACGCCTTCCCTTTCGAACGGCCGAATTTGTTGTAAGTAGAAAATTTCTCCTCTCTGTTAACAAGACTAATACTTGAACATAATGATCACAATCAAGTTTGGAAATTAAAAAAGAAAAAAAAAAAAGATGAAAAAAACAAATGCATTGATTCTTTATATGTACACTGGCTAAAAATATTGCTCTACACTGTACCTTTTAAGTGTAATATTTCTGTATGAATGTCGCCTGGTAGTGTGGGTTTGAGTAGCATTGTGTATGGGTGAACCCACTGGCCTCTGCCATCCACTGGCCTCCCTCACAGCCCTTGGAAAAACAAAGCCTTAAGTATTTGCTCCTTGAACTTTCCTTAACAAGCATGGTTTAAAATCTTAAGACATCATACAAAATTTAAAAAAAAAAAAAATAACACGTTTTGAAGTGACGTCATAGTTGGCTAGAGATTCTTAAAAGTTTTTCGTAAATGGAAAAATTAGAAAACATTTATTTGTATTTTTTTAATTTAGACGTGTAGTCCTGGGCTGTAACAAATATTTAGGTTTCAAAGCTTAGCAGAGTACGTTTTCTGACTCCTTGCGTAAGTTAGTACACTTATGTCATTATTTAAATTCTTTTAAGTGTACTATAAACCGTTCTTTAGTGGTAACTCTTTAGCAAAGTTAAGCAATTTGACTAAAGACGGATTAAATTATGTGTTGGCTTGTGTTGCCTTATATTTAAAAAGGAAAAATTGCCTGATTGTGTTATGCCAAATGATAGCAACATGAAGTCCTAATTTATTGTTTATAATCGTATTCCTGCAGTCTTTGTGAAAACTGGTAAATATACATCTATGAAAGAACTAAAATCCCGAGGCTTTTCATGCAATATTTTTCTGAATACATTATATTGGAAGCCAAGGTTCGAGTCTGAAGCTGCTTCCCTTACAGTCTCCCCGTCGTCTTCCCCGTCCTACTCCCCCAAATCGATCTAGGGCTGTGCTATGACTTTAACCTTTCCTGCCGAGTTAGTTACTGTAAGGTGTTCTGCTACCTGAATACATACCTTTTTACTAAATAAAATACTGGCATCTCCTCTGTTCCGTAGCCTGCTACAACTCTCAACCCAGACTGTTATTAAAAGCAAATTTTTTTTCCTCCTGCTCTTCTCCCGAGAGAGAGACTGAGTCGAGTCCCGTGTTGTGGTGTTTGTGGAAGTGGTTCCGGTGCCGGGGAGGCGTTTGCACTGGCCGTGGCAGCGCGCTGTGAGGTGTCGGGGCTTGTGCCGCGCGGGTAGAGCCACCGCCTCCGAGCCTTCGCCCCGCTACAGCAGCACCGGGAAGCAAAAATACTCCCGAGACTCATCCAGGCGGGACATTGCTTGAAAAATAGGAATCATTTTACTATTAAAATATACTGAAATATTTCCTTTTGTTCCAGGAGTGAGATTTTTCTTTAAACCATCCCTTTTCACTTCTGCAGCAGCCTGTTGCTGGTGGGCTCTCCTTCCTTCTGCATCCTCCCTAAAGAGAAACGCGAAGGCTGAGCCGCTTCATTCCCAGGTGCAACCCCTGAGAGCAAACGCCGAATACGCTGCGTAGGCGCCCGGCGTGGGGACCCAGGCGTGGTGGCCCTGCCGCTTACCCAGGTGATGAAGGGGAGAGCAGCTGGGGGAGAAGTGGCGGCGTGGTTGCGGCAGGAGGTGCGCTCTCCTGGGAACCTTTGCCCCCACGCAGTTCTATTTCACACTCTGCCCGGTGCAGAAATAAAGAGTAGCCAAAGGGGCAGGGACACACCTTCGCCCCGGGCTCTCCCCGGGACCCCGCGCCTGCCTCTGGGGCTCACTTTCTGTCTGTCTGTCTATCTGTGGGTCGGTGGCTTCCTGACCTCTGACTCCAGCACAAGGTTTTTGTTTCCTTGATGGATCCTGGGCATTTGCAGATGGCGGTCCTGCTCCTTGAGGAAAGAATACGGTATTTACAGATGTTTTCCTCAACTATTTATGCTGCCTCATCCGTGCTGAAATCTGTCCCCGGTACGGCACCATGCTGGT